AAGCAGTTAATCCCATGAGGGAAATGCCCATCTTCCTCCTGTGGAGCAGCTAGTGGCCTTGAACCATGTGCCTTTCAGATTGCAGTGCAGCTTCTTGCCACAAGGCCACCAAGCTCCCTACCAAAAAACAAAAACATACACACACACACACACACACACACACACACACATACATACATACATGTATATGAAAAGAAACACACGGGGAAATGCTACCAGAAAACTCCAAAATAACAGGATTTTGCAGTGGAGTCTTAAATTGTTACCTAAAAATGAACAGCAGTTTTCTACCACTTTTTAGTCCTTTCATTGCCCTCTTCTCTCCCCTTCTTATTCACCATTTACAATTTAGAACACAATCCTGAGTAATACTTAACTCTCCATTTGTTATTCAGATGAAGAGATGACCTTGAATTGGAATGATTTTATTTTAGGCAATTTCAAAGAAATCAGCATTTCTACTAAAATATAGCCAATCAATAAATGCATTTTACTCTTTTACAATCCTGATATTTTTGCTGAAAAAATTAAGTAGTTACTTCATATTAAACTAATACTCAAGGTCACAAAAATATTAGGGAATATAATAATTTTCTACTGCTGTTTCCTCTTTTAATAAAAATCACTCTTAATGATTCTTAGTCTAAAATGATACTTTTGAGATGTTCAAGAACTGATAATTCACTCTTCAGATTACGAGTGTACCTTGACATTGCACTTTTCCCTACCTAGTTCACTCACAAAACCTTACTGCTGTGGAGTTGGGACCAACTTAACGCTGATCCTCCAGCAGGATTTCAGAGGCTGTGAATCACACAGGAGACTCATCATCTTTCTCCTGTGGAGCAACTAGTGGATTAAAACTGCCAGAGAAGTGCCTCCAGATTAGCAGCACAGCTTCCTACGAACTACGCTAGTAATACTAGTGGTGTTGGTTGAGAGCAAAATGATTACTTGATCCCTTATCTACCCTCAGGTTCTTTTTCTACCTCTCCCTTGGAAAACTTTCTGACATGGTATTTAAACCAAGTAGATCTGCTTTGGCCTCAGCCTCTGGCCTCCTCAGATTCTCAAAACTGAATTATTCATTAATAATCCAACCTCCAAGTTTACCCAAGTCTTCAAAACATGTCACAACAGACTGACTGGGCTCAGAGGCAGATGGAAGGTCTCCATGCAGAAGTGATATTTAAACTAAGATTTGCAAGCTGAGAAATTAACTAGTCAAAGAAGTGAGATGAGATTGAAACTGGAGATGGAGCAGGCGGAAATAGAGATTTCTGAATTTACAGATCCACAGTTTTGTTTGTCTATCTTTATACTAATATGGTCTTGATCACTAGAGCTTTGTTATAACCCCTGAAACGAAGGAGTCTAAACTGTTCAACTTCACTAAGCTTTTTTATCTTTTTACTGTAACTTTCTGAAATGACTTCTCCTTTCCTTATGCTGAATCTCAATCCTGAATCTCCTTCAATCTCTAGCACAAATCTTTCTTCCTCTTACCCTTCTAAATTGCCAGAGGAGATGATTATATCATTTATCTGAATATTATTCAATATTCGTGACATCCCTTTTTTGATCAGTTACTTTTTGTATTTTCACTTAAATTGATCATGTAAAGAAAGTGTTGGGTTTTTTTTTAGTTTGTTTTTTTTAGAGCCTCTTTTGACATCCATTTTGAGATTTTCTTTCCCCTCTGTTTTTGTAATGATCTTTTTCTTTCTTCATTTTGTGCCAATGGAGCAGGGGAGCATTGCATGGTTAGGAATTGGGACAGAAGTACGCCAGGGTTATATCCTCTCTCCATATCTATTCAATTTGAATGCTGAGCACACTATCCAAGGAGCTGGCTTCTATGAGGAGTGTGGCATCAGGACTGGAGAGTCTTTTTAATAACCTGCTTTATGCAGATGATACAACCTTGCCTGATGAAAATGAGGAGGATTTGAAACACTTGTTACAGAAGATCAAGGAATTGCATCTCAATTTCAGGAAGACAAAGATTCTTACCACAGGACCAATAAGCAGCATCATGATGGATGGAGTGGAGACTGAAAGTGTGAATAGCTTTTTCTTGCTTGGATCCACAATCAACACTCTTGGTATGAGCAGTCAGGAAATAAGGAGACACATTGCATTGGGAAAATCTGCAGTTAAGGACCTCTCCAAATTATTGAAATTATGTCAGTTTGAGGACTAAGGTGCGTCTGATTCCGGCTATGTTGTTGTTGTTGTTATGTGCCGTAGAGTCATTTGCAACTCATAGCGACCCTATGTACAACAGCCCTAAACCCTGCTCTATCCTGTGCCAATCTCATTGCCTCTGACAAACCCATCCTGATTACCCCAGTCACTGAATCAATCCACCTCATAGAGGGTCTTCCCCTCCTGCGCTGTCCCTTCACTTTGCCCAGCATGATGTCCCTCTCCAAAGACCTGTCTCTCCTTACAACATGTCCAAAGTATGTCAGGCGAAGCCCCAGAATCCTTGCCTCCAAGGAGCAGCCTGGTCTAACCCTCTCTAGGATGAATCTATTTATTTTCTTGGCAGTCCATGGTACATTCAATACTCTTCTCCAGCACCACAGCTCAAAGGTGTCAATTCTCCTTCTATCCTCCCTAGTCATTGTCCAACTCTCTGATGCATAATAAGTGATTGCAAAAACCATGGCCTGTATCAGGTGCACCTTAGTCTCCAGAGAGACACTGTTGCTCTTGAGTACTTGAGAGAGGTCCCTAACCGCAGCCTTTCCCATCGCAATACGTTTTTTGATTTCCTGGCTACTGGTGCCAAGAGTGTTGACCGTGGAGCCGAGCAAACTGAAGCTTTGAACAATCTCAATCTCTTCACCACCCATTCTGATGCTACCGATTGGTCCAGGGGTGAGAATTTTTGTCTTCTGGACATTGAGCCTCAGTCCATATTGAAGGCTGCAGTCCTTGACCCTCTGCAGTAAGTGCATGAGGTCCTCCTCAGTTTCAGCAAGCAGGGTTGTGTCATCTGCATAACGCAGATTGTTGATAGATCACCCACCAATCCTAACGCCATGCTTCTCCTCATAGAGCCCAGCCTCTCGAATAATCTGCTCTGCATACAGGTTGAAAAGGTATGGAGACAGGAGCATCTGGAGGATTCAAACCGTGTGCCTCTGGGATTGTAGTTGCAACTCCTTACCACTAGGCCACCAGAGCTCCCCAAGGATCTGATTCCGGCTATAGTCTTTCCAATTATTTGCTATGCATCTGAGGGCTGGACAATGAATAAGGATGACAGAAAAGAAATGATGTCTTTGAGCTGTGGTGTTGAAGAAGAGCACTGAACATTCTATGAATGGCCAAGAGGACAGATATGTCTTGGAAAGGGAGCAGCAGAGTGCTCTTTGGAGGCAAGAATGATGAGGTTTCACCTCACATACTTGGGCATGTTGCTAGGAGGGGCTATTTCTTGGAGAGGGACATGATATTGGGAAGGAAGGGGAAGGGATTAGCAAAGAAGAGGAAGACCCTCAACCAGGTAGATTGACACAGAGACTGCTGCAATGAGCTCTTGTGTGTCAGAAAGTGTGAGGAAGGGACAGAATACAAAAGGGTTCAGGTCTTTTGTTCACAGGGTTGTTATGAGTCATACTTAACTCGATGGCACCTAACAACAACAACAAACGTATAGAGGAGGCTCTGGTGGTGTAGTCTGTTGGGAGCTCCACTATAATCTAAAGGCTACACTTCTCTGCTGTTCAAATCTACCAGCAGCTCCAAAGGAGAAGCGGGGCAATCTCCTTCCATGCCGTGGCAACATAAGGGAGGATCAGCTATAAATCAGTTTCTACCTAATGATAATGAGTTTTTAATGAGAACCCTAAAAAAGGGAGCTAATTTCTCTTCTTAGGAAAGACAATGTTTTCCCAGTATGCTTTCTTGCCTGATAAATGTTTTACTGATCCCACAACTGTTTATAATATTCTAGGATAGTTACAGAGCTCTGGTGGCCTAGAGGTAAGAAGATGCACTGGCATTCCAAGGCATATAGTTTGAATCCACCAGCTGCTCTGCAGAAGAAGGTAGGACAATCTCTTGCCAGCTGCTTCATGGGAGAAGGTTAGGCAATTTCTTCCTGGGCAATTTACAGCTTCTGGAAACCTGCTAGATTGTCATCTATGAGTTGGTTCCAATTCAACAGCACACAACAACAAGGACAGTTATAAGGCTACAAGTGGACTTTACTCTTAATAAGAGCTATATTATTAATACTTCTAGCCTTAAGCTTAAAAGATTATAATGTTCAAAATTATTTGTTATACATTTGCTTAAATTTTTCCCTCTTTTAACAACTGGGATCTAGAGGGAAGAGAAAAGACCAGAGAATGGCCAAAATTATTGGGGCAGCTATTGCTGCCAGTTTAGGGCCTGTGTCAGGAAAAGGAAGTCTTACTCATATACAGTGCCACCCAAAGGTAATAAAGGAGGTCAGAATTGCTTCCACTGTGGAAAGCTGGGCCAATTCAGTAGACAGTGTCACAGACGAGAGCCACAGATAGGCAAGGGAGTAGAGAGGAAGCTCCCACTCACTTGCTTTAAGTGTGGCTCTGAAGGACATTTGGCCAAGGTGGCCCAGATCAGGTCCTCGTGGCAGACAGGACTGACAGGCCCCAGCTCCCAGCTGGAAACAGAGGAGGATGCTTCAACGATTTAGATCCTCCCAGAAGAGCCGTGGATGAGCATTAACATTACTGGTAAGAATATTCATTTTCTCCTGGACACAGAGCCTACTAATTGGTCCTAAAAGCCTTCTGAGGTCCCAACTCTTCTCACTATCTCTTAGTTGTTGGAATGGACGGAAAACCTCAAAAGCAGTTCCTTACTTCACCTCTACCTTGCATGTGAACTTCCAAGTTGTAAAACAGCCCAGTGGTAGATGGAATTTGCTCCAGGACTTAAGAACCATAAATGACATAGCTGAGCCTCTACATCTTGTGGTTCCTAACCTGTAAACTATAATAGACAAAGTGCTAGTCTATAGGCTTTTTATTGTAAGAACCACCTTTCCTCTGTAACTTGATTTGTGCCACTACTAGAACCTCTACTCGGAATATTATTGCTTGTTAATTTTTGACTCATGTACTTTTAACTTGTTAGTTAAATTTGTGTCTTCTAGGTTGCAACACCTCCATGATACATCTTCAAGGATATGAACATGTACGGCTAAGCACAACTGATAACAGTGCATCTAAATTCCAAAATCAATCTCCATAATAGTCTATGTGTTTCCTACTGCCAAAGGGGCCCTTTAGAGTAGTGAGAGAAGTTCTTCACCCTGAAACCACAGCGTCCCTTTTCAGCAGGAAGTAGCTAAGAGAATACACCATCCATCCCCTTTTCCTTATGAATCAGGGTGAAGTCTCTCTCAGGGAGGAGTGATAGGGAATGGCAAAGGACACTCTGACAAAGGAAATTAATCAGAACTGGCTTTGACAAGCACTGTGGCAATTGGACAATTAAAACAGACATTCGGGGTGGGGGGAAGAAGAACGAACTGGGGAGGAGGGTAGAGAAAACAGTGCAACAATGAATGAATGAGAACCCAAAATCTCTGTAAATGTTCATTAAAACTAATAAAATTTAATAATAATTTTTTAAAAAGAGCTATATTAGTTCTTGTCAGGACCCATATCTTTAGAGTTCCTTGTATCTCCCATAAAGTCCTCCAAAGTCCCTAACATATAACAAATGCCCAATTTGTTGGCTTTTCATATTCCTTAAAACTCAAGGGATTAAACATACACATAATAATTCACATTTAGATTTATCATGTCACAGAAGTGCCTCTCAACATCGGAAGTTTATATTTCTTTCATATACTCTAGTTTATACTACTATTATTTCAGATGATAATAAGAGTAAGAAATATTTTCAAAAGTACCTTCAAACCAATCAAAGAGAGAAATAAAGTTTGAATTCCTTTGGTAATTTCCTGAAGAAGGTGGCTATAACAGTTTTCCAATGGGCTGTTTATTAACTCCAATACCTATAAAAAAATTAAAGCAATATTATATATTATGAAAAATAAATGTTACTCCCTTGAGAATACTACTGTCCTTTATGGACTGTTTTGGGCCATTCCCTAAAATCCCCACTGCTGTTGAGCCTGTTGAGCTGATTCCAACACACAGTAGTAATCTTATAGGACTTATAGGACTGAGCAGAAATTGCTCCAGTTGTTTCTGAGGCTGGAAATTTTAAAAGGAAGAACATAATTCAGAGTAAGCCAGTCACAAAAGCATGTTGTATAATCCCACTTATATGGAATATTTAGGATAGGAGGATAGATAGTATATGTGTAGATATCAAAGTTTATTAATGGTAATCTTGAGTAAGCTGGAGGGAAGGAGAAGGAAGAGATGAAACTTAAGAGATGTAACTGCCATAAAGGATGATGGAAAAATTGGGGAACTGTTAATATGATGGTTGAATAACATGGTTGGTAAAGAGTAATAATTTTTAGTAATTAATTACTAGTAATTTGGAAGCAGGAGTGGCATCCACTTCCTAAACAAGATGCCTCTGGAAACTCCATGAACTTTGATAAATGACCATAGTTATAGAAAGGCTTCAGGCCTTTTGTTCATATGGTTGCTATGAGTAGTGCTTGACTCGACACCAATCAACAATTTATTTATAGCAATTAATCTACATGTGCCACTGATGTGTGGGATGCAGAGGTGAAAAATGTTTTGTTAACCAATGTATTTACCACAATTAAAAAAAAAGAGAGAGAGAGAGAGACAGAGACCATAAGATGCACAGGAGAGGGCAACAGGTACCAATAAGCAGGTGGCTTTTTGCTGGGATACTGCTGCCCTCTATGGACTGTTTTGGGTCATTCCCTAAAATCCCCACTGCTATTGAGCTGATTCCAACATGCCGTAGGAACTTTATAGGACTTACAGGATTGAGCAAAATTGCCCCACTTGTTTCTGAGGCTGTAAATGTTACAAGGAATAGATGACTTCATCTTGTTCTGAGGGAATGGCTTTTGGGTTTGACCAACAAAAATGTTGGTCAGCAATTCCATGCTTAACCTGCTGCACCACTGGGGCTCTTTTGGCCACAGGGTGGTACATCATTTACTTGTTCAGGCAATATTTCTCTCTTTGATTAAAACAGAAAACAGTAACAGAAAAATCTGATCATTCTTCTAGCAAAGTATTTCCAATTATCACTATTTTACAAGTATCCTTTCTTCATTAGACTAGCTTCCAAATTCACTGCCGTCCCTAGTTGGTTTTCAGTCATAATGCACCCCTATGTCCACAACCATTGGGTTTCTAAGGCAATAAAACACAAGGGAGGAGACTGTCCATCTGTCTTTGTTGGGGCAATTGACTGGTGGATGTACACTGCCAGAGACACGCAGCTATGGGGTTAGCAGCACAACAGAGACTAAGCCACCGAGGCTTTGTTAGAAAAGTTCTAGTAATAATGAAATATTCCAACAATCAGGTTGGTTCATAAATAAAGTAAATGGGGTTCTATATAAAAATGATGTTCTTGGTATAAATTTTGTGGACACGGGTAGAGGGAAGACAAGAAAGAATAACAGCTTTGCTCAGAAAAACAGAAAAACATTTTTTTCCCAATTGTGTAAATAAAATATTAAAGTATTCAAACTTCCTAATACTTAACTACACAGGAAGAGGGCACATCAATTAATGGAACTTTAATTAATAATTAATTTAAAAAGACCATCTCATAAAAGGACAAACCAAAGACTAAGAACAAGAAACCAATGAACCAAGCAGATTAACCTGTGGCTTGTCTTTTTCTTGCAGTATAAGGATACTTTCCCCAACAGTGTCTATTCCAGCACGGCCAGCCCTGCCAATCATCTGTTTATACTGATTCTTCTTTAAGAATTCCTTGGCAACATAGGGGGCTCTTACAATAACTCTGAAATAAAAGTGATATTCCATCAATAACAATAAGCATAGATTTTAAAATTTTTACTTACATGATGTATTTTTGATACGACATTTAATGGTTTAGTAACTCAAAATACTATTCACCAAGAATCTACAATGGCCTAGGTCCTTTCTTTACACACATTATCTCTAATTTTTTACAAACCTTTTGTCAGTATTATCCTTTATTAAAAATTGTATTTATCTTTAAAATACAAAGGGGCTAACTAATGCGTTGTTGTTGTTACATGCCATCCAGTCAGTCACCTGTGACATAGCAACCGTCTGTGCAATAGCTCTGAACCCTGCCCTATACTGAGCAGTCTCTGACACACCTACTTCAATTACCTCAGGTACTGTGTCATTCCATCTCACCCAGGGTCTTCCTCTCCTTTACTGTACCCTCCACCCTTCCAAGAATGGTAACATTCTCCAAAGACTGGTTCCTCCTAGCAACACGTCCAAAGTATGTCAAACAAAGCTTTAAAATCCTTGCCATCAAGGGGAAACTTGGTTTCATTCATGTTCAGACAGACATGTTTGTGCTCTTGGTGGTCCAGAGTATGTTCAATATTCTTCTCCAGCACCACAACTCAAAGACATCAATTCTTCTGTCATCCTTAGTCATTGTCCAGCCCTCTGACGCATAAGAATTAATTGTGAAGACCATGGACTAGATCGGGCACACTTTAATCCCTAGACTGACATCATTACTCTTTAGGACTTTGGAGAGACCACTGACAGTAGACTTCCCCAGTGCAATTCATCATTTGATTTCCTGACTGCTGGTGCCAAGAGTGTTGATTGTGGAGTTCAGCAAACTGTTACTGTGAACAACTTCAATCTCTTCTCTACCATGGGGTGATGCCAATTGGCCCAGTGGTCAGAATCTTTATCTTCTTGATGTTGAGCTTCAGTATACATTGAAGACTACAATCCTTGAACTGCAGCAAGTGCTTCAGGTCCTCCTCAATTTCACCAAGCAAGGTTGTGTCATTTGCATATCACAGACTGTTAATGTGTCTTCCTCCAATCCTAATGTCACATTCCTCCTTATAAAGCCCTGCCTTGCAAATGCTCTGTTCTGCAGATACAGACTGAAAAGGTATGGAGACAGGATGCATCCCTGTTGTTCTCCCTTCCTGATTTTGAACCATGCAGTGTTTTCTTGAAAAATTTCAAAAGACAAATTGAATAACAAATGATCATACTCTGAACAGAATACTCTGAATTGAGATGAAACTACTCTGAATTGAACAAACAACATAAAGTTAAGGGGAAAGCTGACAAGCTTCTGAAGAGGGGGAGGTGGGGGAAAGCCAGCAAACTTAACACAAATACAAAAATCAATAATCTGGGCTCATGGAAGGTTTAAAGCAGTATGCATAACAACTTTTATTAAAAAAATATGAAAACAGATCTCTTTTCCTGGCAAATCATACAAATGTAGGTAAAAATAAAAACAACTTTGCTTTGCAAAAACAAGAACAAAAAAATCTCTTCTACTTTGGAGCTTTAAAAATATTTACTAAGAATAGTAAAATGTAAAATGAATCCCAGATAGGATACAAGAGGAAGTGGTAAGCAACACAAGTAAATTGACAAGTGTTGTGAGTTACTGTTGAATCAATTCTGAATCATGATAATCCCATGCATAGAAATGTTTCACTGGGGG